TCGCCTTTCCTCTCTGAAATCAATAAAAATACATTTTAAAATAAATAAAAGCTGATGTAAAACTCAATACTCAACCTTAGGTGTTCAGAGAGTACAGTACTCACAGGTGATGGGTCCTGTGATCCAACTTGCACAAGAGGAAAATACCCTCTTGAGATGCAAAATAAATCACGACAAAAAAAAACTTTATTCATGATGAACTGTGTCTAGCTATCCTCAGAAAGACATCCAGGTTTCCCACATTTGTCCAGCAGAAGAAATAATGCATGCCTAATGTATGATGAGTACTTACAGTGAGGGAATCTCAAATTTATATAAAAAGTTATTTTAAAAAACTTTTCAATGTTGTCCTATACATATGAAAATCATATTACTGACTTACCAGTGTTTGAGTTGGTTTTTCAGTAGCAGAGCCACCTACCTGATCATTCCTACAACCAACATTTTCAAGGTGACAGTGTGGATTAAGGATAAAGAAATGACAATGAAATAATAACCAATAATATTAAATGGCCATGAATAAAAACTCTACCCTTGACCTCACTGCACCTTTTCCTAAAAATGCATAACTATGTACTAAATGTTTCTCCCTTTACTACCTCAATCTGAATTTTACCTATCCTGTGAAACTCAATTTAAAATCCTTCTCTCACTCTTTCCCTGACCTTACCAACACTACCGCATCTCCCTTTCACTGAATCCTACGGCATATATTATCCATCTTCATTCACCTTACATTAACTTTTCCATCTTTGTCTCATCTTTCCAAAAAAACCTGTGAGATCTTTAAGGGCAGGAACCATATTCCTAGGTATTGCTTTAAGGACACCCAGCAGAGAACCTTGTATGTATGCATAAGTATTCGGTCATATTTAGTTGTGTTAGGCCTTAATTTACAAATCAGGCATCACAAATAATGTGATGCCTCCAGGCATCTAACTAAGGCTTAGAAAAACACCTAGTCTTTCAAATTATCCCTTTTCAAGAGCACTTTGCAGCGAGGACTTCAGGTGGTAAAAAGAACAGATATAAGTTGTGGAAAGTTAGACTGTTTTCTCACCATTAAAGGTAAATAAGTGAACAACTTAAAATACCACAAGAGGTAAGTATGGTAACAGATGGATACTGGACTTTTTGTGGTGATCACTTTGTAAGGTATATAAATGTCAAATGGCTATGTTGTACACCTGAAACTAATGTAATATCGTATGTCAACCACAGTTTAAAAGAGCATTACATTCCAGGGGGAGAGGAAAAAGGCCAGAAGAACTAAGGCGCAATATTCGATGAGGCATCACATATCACTGATCATACACAGTTGGCAAATTCCAGACTCCCTCTCTGTGGTGAGAGGTCTGGGAGCTCTGATGTCCCCTGGAAAAAAATAAGGGACCTGCTCTTCTCAGCACTGAAATATGGCACAAAGCACACACGGGCATAACGAGGCAAGCAAAACTAATATGTACAGTGACAAGAAGAAAATTCTGAGATGTTCTAAATTAAAATTACAGAGGCCTGAGAGTGAGAGAAAGAGACTGAACAATTAGCTTGTTAATAGCTGTGGACCAACTCTGACAAAAGACTGCTCACATTCCTTCCATTCCCTTCTGGAACTTCCGATTAATTTCCAGGTGGCTATTTCGGCAGATTACCCTAACTAGGCAACATGGAACTCCAGGAGCCTCTGCTTCTTGTTTACCTGTGGGCTTTCCGGACTGCTGTCCACAGCCAATCCAGAAGGGGACATTGCTCTGTGGACATTGTGCCTATCCCAGAGCTGGCTCCACTTCACCTCTCCCACCTCTCTGCCTTTAGCTAATATAAATTCTTTCACCCAGATTACATCTTTCTTGATGTATAAGAATGCTTGCACACTCCCGAGATGATGGTGGACATGTTATCTTTCCTACCAAGCTGATTTATACTCTATGCTCCAAGACCCGTCTTCTTTTTGGCCAGCAATGGCCTAATAAGCCCTTTCTTTTAAAAAGATTTTCAGCCATCTAAGCTAACATTTTTTTGTTTCATAAAATGAAACTGACTGTGAAGTTAGGGTTGGGGCAAATAGAAAAGAAAGAAAATGCCATAAAAGCCTGAAAAAGCATAACTTTTAGGTGGTAAGGTTAAAATGCCCTCTAGGTGCTTATCCATGGAACTCCACTTGTGTTTCTAAGAAATAGGGCATACAGACATGCATACTTCAGTAGGCTTTCTCATGGACTGTATCTGAGACACTATAGAGTTAAGTTGTTAGGGAGCCACCCTATCTTAAGACTGAACCTTTATACTTCTTAGGACAATCATAACTAATTCTAAAGATGGGTGGCCGAAGGATTAACACTCTCTGGCGTGGGTCTCCCTGCAGTAGCCATAACACAACCCAAGACAGCTTCAGGGTTTTGCTAGCCTGCTGGAAAAGCACTTTCTTCGCAACCAAAGCACTACCTCTCTAGGGGCTAAGTCTGGCAAAAACGGGTGAAAACCAGTTTCTGTCAGAGGATGCAGTCCCCGGCATTCTGTCCTGGATCTTTTCATTGAAGAGACAGAATGGGGGAGGGGGGCTGGAAAGGGAGATGGAGCTGAAGACTCTGGCAGCATGACAACCTAAATAACCAAGTTGAAACAGTATGTCCTGCCTCCTTCCTAAAGCCATTTCCTTCAATAGTGGTAGGGAACGCGGGCAGTCTGCAAGTCATTAGTACACTGCTGTTTTCACTTTCACAAACCACTGAGTAACAAAATCCCCCTCCGCCCCAGTTACCTTCCAATCCTCTCTTCCCTAGAGACAACAAAAAGAGACTGTCCTTATCAATCCGCTATTTTGATTCACAGAAGATTGGGGCGGGGAGGTCTCGTGTGAGAACAGCAGCAGAAAAAGGGGGGCGGGGCGGTCATCGTGAGAAGGAGACAAGGTGAAGAGTGAAAGAATTGAGGGGAGCCCTGGCCCAGTAGCTCAGTTGGTTAGAGCATCCTCCCCACAGCCAAGGTTGCGAATTCGATCCCGGGTCACGGCACATACAAGAAGCAACCAATAAATGCATAAATAAATGGAACAATAAATTGATGTTTCTCCCTAAGAAAATCAATATATATGTAATTTTTAAAAAGAAAATTGAGGGGCGAGTTGTCAGGGGAGAACCTGCTAAGAAAGAAAAAAAGATGGGGAAAGACGGCAAGTAGAGAGAAGAGGAGAGAGGAGAGAGGAGAGGGAGGAAGGGGCAGGTGGAGCGTCCGGGGGGTGGGGACAAGGCTGGGAGGGCGTTAGGGAACCAAGGCCCGAGCCAGGGTCTGGGGCCAGCGACCGCACAACAGTGGGCAGCAGTATCTGGGGGACCGATTTCAGGGGTGTTCCGGAAGCTTAAAACCCATTCCGAGGCTCCGGGGCGAGGAATCCACGCCCGAGTGCAGGGGACACGGGGCTCTCACCGGTAGTTTGGGGTTGACCTCGCCCTTGCAGAAGTGGCAGAAAAACCGGTGCGGGGCGACGGCGGCGCCTGCGCCGGTACCGGCCGCCGAGGCCTCCGCCATCTTTCTCTTTCGTCCGGCGGTCCGAGAGGGCGGCCGCCTCCCTCGCCGAGGCCGCTCCCTCCCGGTTGCGGTCACCGCCTCGGCCCGCTGCTGCCTCAGCGCGCCCGCTGCTCCGAGCCCGCGTCAGTCACGTCAGGGACCCGGCCCACAGAGGCGGCAGTGCCGACGCCGACGCAGGGCCCGCCTCCAGCGTCAGAGGCACCGGAAGGAGAGTCCGTCCGCAGCTCCTCCCTCAGCCGCTGGTCGGTCCTCCAACCTCCCAGCGAGAAGAAAGAAAGAGCGTCCCCGGAAACCAGCGACACTCTGCGGTAGAGCGGCCGGTAGTTTCCCTTTTTCCCGGGTCCTCCTCGGTGTCGGTCTTGCGGGAAAAGGCCGAGGGCTCCCCCTCTGCGCCGGCGGCCAGTGGGGGCGCGCAAAGCCGAGGGGAACTTGGCGTTAGATTGCAGTGACCCAGAGGTTAGTGGAAAACGCTGTCTGAACCGGGCGGCCCTGTCTCTAGACCACGGGACTCAGTCCCGAACTGGGACCCTACATGCCGGGAATAGAGAGGCAGGACCAAGCTCCTTGGAAGCCCTCTTCTGAGCTAGCAAACGGCCTGGGGATGCTTCCCTGAAGGGCTGCGGGATGGGGTGCTGAAGCTGAGAGGCAAAAACTTGGCTTCTGAGGAATTGGAAAAAAATAAATGAGCAAACCAATGTTTGGTAGCACTTGTGATAAAAAAAAAAAAAGCAGTTATATAGTCAATTAAGTGTGTTTCTGTTTGTGTCTACTTTGTCAAAAAGTAGAAATTTCAGAATTGAATACTGCCCTGCAAACAACGTACCTCATCTCCTATTGGAAACACTGTTGCAAAGCTTTCCTTTATCTCTTAATTTCTTTTTCTAAATTGTCATTTCCTTTATGGACTGGGAAAGACACGGCCTGTTCACTCCCAATAGGCTGTGAAGTGGCCTTAAATTCTTCCAAACAATGAACTGTAGAATTGAAGGTCTGTCACATTGCAAAATCACTACACCCAATCTCTAAAGAAAGTTAGAATCAGCCCAGCCGGGGGTGGCTCAGCGGTTGAGCATCGACCTTTGATCCAGGAGATCTAGGTTCCATTCCTGGCGTGATTCCCGGTCAGGACACATGCCGGGGTTGCGGGCTCGATCCCCAGCAGGGGGTGTGACTCTCTCATCATTGATGTTTCTACCTCTCTCTCTCCCTCTTCCTTCCTCTCTCTGAAATCAATAAAGTTTTTTTGTTTTTTTTAATTACACACAATCCCATAAAGATAAATGTGATCTATAGTCACATTTATCTTTATGGGATAATAGTTTTTTTTCTATTTATACTTTTTTTTCTTAAATTTTCCTCTATATTTTGCTTTGTAGCCTGCTTCTTTTACTTAATGAATAATTGGCTATGCTAATATTATACAAAAGTGTTGGAGTAGCATTCCATTGTATGGGTGGACCATAATTTATTGAATTAATTCCTTATTGTTAGACATTAGGTTGTTTCCAATATACTAGTATTCTAAAGAGAACTACAGTAACATGTTTTTGTTATTTCCTTAGAACAGAGTATCCAAAATGAAATTATTAGGTTGAAGATAGGCAAGATTTTAAGGCTTTTGATATATAATGTCAAATCACATGACAAGTCACAAACTAAGTGAATTTATACTCAGCAGCTCTATACCCAACATAAAAGAAAAACTTTCCAGCATACAGTTTTTTTTATTTTTTATTCTAGCTCTGAAACTCCTTAGTACAATGACTCAAGCAGAAATTAAGCTGTGTTCTTTGTTGCTGCAAGAACATTTTGGAGAGATCGTGGAAAAAATTGGAGTCCACCTAATCAGAACGGGCAGCCAGCCACTAAGAGTAATTGCCCATGACACAAGAACATCACTGGATCAGGTATGTTTGGATGATACTAATTTGCTTTTATTTTCATGAATTTCTTTTACCTACCTTTGAATAGTTATTCCCCACCCCACGAAATGGAAAGGGAGAAAGCCTGTTCCAGGATCAGAACAGTATTACTTATGGGGAGAGAGGATGAGATGTAGGCCCCAACGTTCTGCTTCTCCAAGTGTTCCTCGCTCATCATTGCTTCTTAAGCAGACCTTTGCTCTTCCTTTGCCATACTTCCTTTATTCATAATGAGTCTGTGCATCTCAGTACTACCTTTAAGGAATGAGAATGATAGAGGGGAAGTAAGTTGTACTTTGAAAGACAAAGATCAGAGTTTATAAGCATCATAGCAAGGAATCTTCCTGATTGCTCCAATTCATGTGTGATTCTTACTATTCTAACGGAAGGAGGAAGGCAGCACAGAGATTCTTATCCAGCCATCTCCTGAAGCTTAGTAAACTGTTGGGCAAAAATTGCCAGCAATAGCCCAGCTGGCGTGCTCAGCAGTTGAGCATCAACCTAGGATCCAGGAGATCGCAGTTCGATTCCTGGTCAGGGCGCATGCCCAGGTTGTGGGCTCGATCCCCAGTGGGGGGCGTGCAGGAGGCAAACGATCAATGGCTCTCTCATCATTGATGTTTCTCTCTCTTTCCCTCTCCCTTTCTCTCTCTGAAATCAATGAAAACTTTTTTTTAATGCCAGTAATAAAGAGCTGTGTCTTCAGATCTTTCTCCTCTTTGTTTCGGGTCCCGTCCAGGTGAAAAAAGCCCTCTGTGTTCTCATCCAGCACAACCTGGTGGTTTACCAGGTGCACAGGCGCGGGGTGGTGGAGTACGAGGCCTCGTGCGGCCGGGTGCTGCGAGTGCTCCGGTACCCCCGTTACATCTACACTGCCAAAACACTGTACAGCGACACAGGAGAGCTGATTATTGAAGAGCTACTGCTGAATGGCAAAATGACTATGTCGGCGCTCGTGAAGAAAGTGGCAGACCGGCTCACAGAAACTATGGAGGGTTAGTACTGCACCAGCAGCTGTCAACAAAAGCATAGATTGGCTGGCTGCAGGAGCAGACCCTCAGCTCTCTGAGGCCATCTCACCTGCCTCTTTCCTCCTGTTGTACAGATGGTAAGACCATGGACTATGCTGAGGTATCAAGCACATTTGTGCGACTGGCAGACACGCACTTTGTGCAGCGTTGCCCGTTGGTGCCTGTCACTGAGAATTCAGACCCTGGGCCACCGCAGCCTGCCCCCACTCTTATCATCAATGAAAAGGACATGTACCTGGTTCCTAAACTGAGCTTGATAGGTAAGGAATTTTGACCCCTGGAACTATGATTTGCCCTAATTGTGGATCCTTCCTCAGTGATTGTTGAAGGAATGAATGAATGAAGTGAGCAGTTACCAAGTATTTACTCTGCCAGATACTGAGGTGTAAAATATGAAAAACCATTATGGTCCCTGCCTTTTGGGGGTTTAAGGCTGGTACAGGAGACTTACATTAATTAAATTACCAAATAGGTATATCACTAACAAACTGTCATAAGTACTATGAAGGAAAAGTGTGAGGTGTTTTGAAAACATCTAACAGGACTGGAGTTATCTGGGAGTTTGTGGCACATGCTTCTTTGAGAAAGTGGTATTTGAGCTAAGATTTGAAGCAGAAGTAGGAACCAGCTGGTGAGGTAAGGTATGAAGGGGTACAGAGGATAAGCATTTTTGGCAAAGGGAATAATATGTCCTGAGGAAAAAACAGGGAATTTGAGAAAGTGAACGAAGGTCAGTTAGTTAAAGCGTGGTGTGCAAAGGAAAGAGCCGTGAGAATAAGGTTAGGGAGGTAGGCAGGGGCTAGATCCCACAAGACCTCGTAGAGTATCTGTTCTTTGTCCTAAGAGCAAAGGAAAATCACTAAAGGATTTTAAGCAGAGAAGTGACATGATCTAATTTGCATTTTAAAAGATTTTTCTGTGCACAGAAAGGGTGAGGCAAAGGTAAATGTAGACAAACCAGTAAAAAATTATATATAGAAATAGTGAGGGCCCTAGCTGGTTTGGCTCAGTGGTCAGAGTGTCATCCCATGGACTGAAGGGTCCCCTGTTCGATTCTGGCCAAAGGCACGTACCTCAGTTGCAGGCTTGATCCCCGGCCTCAGTTGGGGTCAGGGACGCATGCGGGAGGCAACCAACCAATTGATGTACCTCTTTCACATCGATGTTTCTCTCTCCACCCCACCCCACCCCCACTTTCTCTGAAAAGCAATGGAAAAAATATCCTTGGGTGAGAATTTGAAAAAGAGGGGGAAAAAGAAGTGAGGAAGACAAGTATCAAGAATGACATCTATGTGTCTGAAGTGCATATGTGGGAGGAGGATGGTGCTGTTCACTGTGAAAGGAAACATTAGAGCAGGAGCAGTTTAAGGGTTAAGATTATGAATTTCTTTTTTAACATGTTGAATTTCAGATAACTTCATCATTTACCTGAGTTTCTTGTAGCTACTCCGCCTCCTGAGCAACTCTAAACTAGAGGAAGCTACAGATGTCCTTGGGATAGGGAGACACCTGCTCTCATGTTTGGTCATGTCCTGTCATCATATGAGATGAGCCTAACTATTCCAACTGTTTCATTTGCAGGGAAAGGTAAAAGGAGGAGATCGTCTGAGGACGATGCTACTGGGGAGCCCAAGGCCAAGAGACTAAAACATACCACAGATGATAAAGAGGTAATGGGGCTTTTTGATTAGGAGTCTCACCCTGAGGCAAGCCAGAAGAGCAGTAAGATAAGCCCCAAGAGGCTTTAAGGGTTCCTGGGTTGAGAAGCAGTAGGATTATGAACTTCATTAAATATTAGCCAGCAATAGACTAATGAAGAGTGAACTCCATTGCTCTCTCCCTTCTGAGGCTTTAACTTATTTCAGTCATTGGACAGAGGTAGCAGAAGTATGCAAAAAAAGGGCCTAGGAAAAGTTTATGTTATTCAGTATATCTGGAACATAAAGACCCGTGGGAACCAGTGGTGAGGAATGAGTCTAGAAAGATATATGTAAGCCTGAGCTTTTATCTTCAAATGCCTTCTCAGCATCTCTATAAAGATGTCTAATAAGCATCCCAAATTTAGTGTGGCCAAAACAGAATAATTGTTTTCCCCACCCAAATATTTACTCTCTCAGCTTTCCTCTTCTTAGTAAAGGATCTAGGCCAGCCACCTCTAGGACACCACCACTTGCCTAGGCCAAAATCCTAGGAACCATCCAATCTCCCAGTAAAACCTGACAGCCCAATTTCCAGAATTA